TGGTTGGATTGAGCCTCATCCCATATCGCTTCAGTACATCAAATACATCTTGCAGATGCTTCAGATGATCATTCTTCTTCCTACTCTTTACCACCATATCATCAATATAGGCTTCCACAATCTTTCCCATTTGATTCTTAAAAATTTTGCTAACAAGTCTTTGATAAGTTGCTCCCGCATTCTTTAGTCCGAAAGGCATAACTTTGTAGCAGTATGTTCCTCGCTCGGTGACAAAAGAAGTTTTTTCTTCATCTGCGGGGTCCATAGGGATCTGATTATAACCTTAATAAGCGTCCAGAAAGGTTAAACGCTCATACCCGGTGGTGGCATCCACCATTTGATCAATCTTAGGCAGCGGGAAGCTGTCCTTCGGACAGGCTTTGTTCAAATTGGTGAAATCAATGCATACTCGCCATTTCCCATTCTTCTTCTACACGACAACGACGTTGGACAACCAATCAGGGTAGTGCACTTTTCTGATAAATCCCGCATCAAGCAGCCTATCGACTTCTTCCGCTATGATTTGATTACGTTCTGGAGCAAATCTTCGCTGCTTCTATTTCACTGGTTTGAAATTGGGATTGACATTCAGGGAATGACAGGATACGGAGGGACTAATTCCAGGCATGTCTAGGTGACTCCATGCAAATATGTCGGCATTGTGGGACAAGAAATCCACTAGCTCTTGCTGCTCTTCTCTGGTCAGTCTTATACCTACTCTGGTAGTTCGTTCTGGCCTGGACTGATCGATCTGCACATCCAGAAGGGGCTCCTCGGTCAAGTCGACTGACTCCTCCACCCTGTTCTGCTCGGGCGGAGGTTCCTGTAATTGCTATCTGGGGCTTGTCGAACGGACGGGCGCCTTCCCTTTCCCAGCATGCTTTAGTGTGACGGAATAACACTCTTTGGCTGCAACCTGATCCCCCCGAATGTCTATCACTTTATCTCCATCGGGTCCGAGGCACCTCATGACCTGATGCAGAGTTGAGGGTACACCTTGGACTCTGTGAATCCATCCTCTTCCCATCAGGAGATTATACGATGGGTGAATTTCTACAACCACAAAAGTTTCCATAAGAGCTCGTTCTGCAGCTTGAACTTCCACTTCCACCATCCCGACGGGCTCCACCCTCTTCCCATCGAACCCTAACAAGGGATTTCCAGTGGGCTTGAGCCTCTCTGGTTTAATCTCGAGCCTATCAAATGTGTCCCTCGGCATGACATTCGCACTGCTCCCAGGATCGATCAGAACTCTGCACACCAAGCAGTCCGCCACTGTTAAACTGACTACCAACGGGTCTTCATGGGGCAGTTGAACACGCCGCAGGTCTGTCCAGTCGAACTTTATCTGCATCGACGGGCTCTGCTGGTGTAGAGTATTCACACTGCTGACCCTTTTCTTCATCTGCGCCTGCCGCAGGCGCGCCCGGAGTAGCTCATCTGACTCTTCACTAGGCTCGGGTCGACCATGGATAGCATTAATTATACGAACTGGTTGTGAATTGTGGGAGCTTTGTTTATGACTCCTTTTTATTTGTTCCACCGGTCGATTCTGCTCTATCGCCGAGCCTTGAACATAACTCGCGAACTCCTCTCTAGCTATCAACATCTCCACTTGCCTCCTCAGGTTCCTGCATTCGTTAGTCTGATGACCGAAATCGGAATGGAAAGCACAATGTTTAGTTTGATCCCTCTGTTCGAGGGGTTGCCTAATTGGCAGTGGTGGATGAAACTTATCTTTGTTCTCCTGATACAGCCTCGCCAGAGTAACCTTCAGCGGAGTAATCAGCTCTTCCTCCCTGGACCTTTTTTCTGCCTTCCAAGAGGTCTGACGTTGCGGCTGAGCCTGCTTCTGCCTGATCTTTGCCTTGGACTTTTCCTCGGTCGACACGAGCGACGCTGTCCGAGCATTAGCTGCCTCCTCTTCTTCTAGGCGCACAAAGACATCGGCTCTTTCATTGAGTTCATCCATAGTAGTCGGCGTGTTCACTACCAGACTGGTGTGAAACGGAGTTCCACGTGTCATGGCTAACTTGAAGGCTTGAACTGCTGTAGAAGGGTGGCATTCGATCACCATACTCTTAGTGAGATTAAACCTGGTAAGAAAAGCCTGGAGACGTTCATCTTTGTGCTGCCTCATCGTGAATAGGCTCGAGATGTCCTTCGGCGGGCGCTTGTTCCCATAGTACTGGCTTATGAACCGATCGCACAGGTTTCTGAAGCTACCAATGGAGCTCTTAGGCAAGTTTTTGAACCAGCTGAGCGCCGGTCCGGCTAGGCTTGTAGGGAAACATTTGCACATTAAAGAGTCGTTTTCCGTATTCAGGGCCATTTTCAACTGGATATGGTACACATGATCGATCGGATCGGTTGTTCCGTCAAACAGAATAAAGACTGGCATAGCAAACTTCCTTGGATGCGGGGCATTCAAGATCTCGTCGGTGAATGGTGAATCAACCGTCCGAGCTGCGGATCGGAGAGCTTCATTCTCTCTCTGGAGTCCAGCGGTAGCTCTGTGAGTTACGGTTCTGCCCTCCGAACCGCGATGAGTGATAGTAGCCATGGAGGGCCGGTAAGACGGATCGAACGACCATTCCTCTATGAACTCTCTTTGCCAAGGCGACGCTACTCGACGGCGATCAACCTCTATCACTTCCTCTCGGTCGAACCTTTCCCGATGCGGATCGAAGGTTATGGCTTCATTCCGTCTAATCTACTCATGTCGCGGATCAACGTGAGTCGATCCTTCGTGATCCTCAACTCGACGAACATTTGGCGGCAAATTGTCCATCATCCTTTCATCACGGTGGTGAGCTGACTGATTGTTCTCGTCCTGCTCGCCTTGACGCGCGATATTAGATTGAACACCTCCTTCACCGACCGGAAGTGGATGCGAAACTGCAGGTATTTGCCGATGTTGCATTCCAGCTTTCAATTCTGCATTCTCTTTTTTGAGAGCTTCAATCAAGTTCATCAACTCCTCAAGCTTTGTTTGCTGGACAGCCTCCATCGGATTAGAGCTTTCACCTATCATTATTCCTGAACGGAGTAAAGGCATTAATCTCAAGTTCGCGAGTAGATCCGAGCTTCGTGAGTGGGAATTTTTCAGATCTGGTTTCGAATTCTCCGAATTATGCTCACCGTTTACGAGATCTGAATTGTCTGAACTCTAAATCCGTCAGATCCTGCCACAATCGAACAACTCGTTGTTGCGTAGATCTGAAGCCACTTCTGCCAAAGCTTCAAGAATTGTAATTCCTCCAGAGTAGGTCACAATCGCTCAGATCTGGATCCAAATCCCAAAGATCGAGTCTCGATCAACCGAATTGGTCTGAATCCACTCGATATTCCTCATTGATCAACCAAACTTCCATGCGATTCCCACAGACGGCGCCAATTGAAGATGCAAGAAATTCATACACTCTTTCTCTCTCTAGAATTCTTACACTTCAACCAAAAGATCCTCCTATTCTTTCCATTCCTTCCCTTATTTATAGATATTTACAAGATATTTACAAATATTGACGGATTGCTGGATCTGGGCCTGTTCCTCCATAAGTCCTGGTCACCTTTGATGGGCTTATTCGCGTTCGGCCCATATGGCAGTGTCTTTTTATGGGCCGACCCAGCTGTACGGACCGGATGTCGTGCTTGCAAGTCAGATCCGGCCCATGTCGTCCTGGGCCTCCTCAACGCTATGTGATTTGATTGCAATGCATTTACAAATAGAAATTATAAAGGTTGAATTGAAAATGGTTAAATATTAAAACGACATTTGTATTTTGTTTTATATTATTCTAAGTACAATAAGAAATTAGAACTTTCTCAAAATGATTAAACTGGGCAAATTGTATCAAAACCTCTTTACTTTCATTTTTGGCAAGAAACTCCCAAAAGGAAAAAAAAAAAAAAAAATGACATAAAACTCCCTTAACTATAAAATTTTTGCAAATTGATGTTATAATGACAAAAATACCCTCTAATATACTTTTAAGAAAGATTTTCATTTTAGGTTCTTATTCATTTTTTATTTTTTTAAAAAATAAACTCTAATTTTTTTTTTTTTTGAAAATTGCACACTATTAAAGTGATGTTATAATGATGAAAATTCCCCTTAATGTAAATTTAAGAAAATTTTGGTTTACGTTTAAACTGATTTTTCTTTTATGTTTTCTTTTCCTTTTGATTTTTTACAAATAATTTTTAAAATTTTTTTTTTGAAATTTCCTTCTTTTTTTTTTTTTTTTTTTTTTTTTTTATTTTCTTATAGACCCACTATTTACAAAAATCAAAATTTTAAAAATAATACCATGCCAAATGACATAAAACTCCCTTAACTAAAAAAAAAAATGACATAAAACTCCCTTAACTATAAAAATTTTGCAAACTGAGGTTATAATGACAAAAATACCTCCTAATATATTTTTAAGAAAGATTTTTCATTTTAGGTTCTTATTCCTTTTTTATTTCAAAAAAAAATTAAACTCTAATTTTTTTTTTTTTTAAATTACACGCTATTAAAGTGATGTTATAATGACAATCCCCGTTAATATAAATTTAAGAAAATTTTGGTTTACATTAAACTGGTTTTTAATTTAAGTTTTCTTTTCCTTTTGATTTTTTACAAATAAATTTTTTAAAATAAATTTTTTTTTTTTCATTTTCTTATAGTCTCGCTATTTACAAAAATCAATTTTTAACAACTATACCAAATGAATTGTTTTTACTAATTTTAATTTAATATATAAATTTGCACCATTTTATTGTATTAAAAGATGTTTAGTCGATATAACATCACTTCGTACCAAACTTGATAGTTGGTGGAATTTGATCCAGTTTTTGAAAGTAGTGAAATTTTATGCAATTTGTCCAATATTAATTACAGTACATAGTAGAAAAAATAATAATAATAATAAATAAATAAATGATCAAGAAAATTAAAAATTCATACTTATTTATTTCTGAAATCAGTTGAATTTGCAGAGGACAAGCTTCAGCAATCAAACATTCATAAATTTGATATCCTGAATCAAACGGTTCAAATCCCTGAACGATGACCCTCCTTCACTAACACTTTTCTTGGCCAACATGGCCATCTCATCCGCCGAGCTCAACAACTCATCTCTCCTCACCTCCATCAAATCGTTGACCATATTCTCAATCACGACCTGATCACACGTGTCTTTCATGTCCAAACCCACCTTCCACACCTCGCTCACAAACCTACTGTTGACTAGTTGGTCAACGTAAGAAGGCCAGCAAATCATCGGGACTCCGGCGACTATACTCTCCAGCGTCGAGTTCCACCCACTGTGGGTCAGAAAACCGCCAACCGCTGGGTGGGCCAACACCTCCTCTTGTGGGGCCCACCTCGTTATGAACCCCAATTCCTTCTTTCCCTCGGAGAGCTCCGCCGGAATCTGCCCATCCCCATCTTCTCCGGCGACGGCATTAGTCCGTATGACCCACAAGAATTTCTTCCCACTGTTCACCAAACCGTGCCAAAACTCCATGAGGTCGTCCCTTGTCGTGAGTGAAAGACTCCCATGTAAGATTATTTATTTAATTATGGCCCACATGATTTGGACATGTGACATATTACTTGGTGGGTAAGTAAATAGATATCAATTAATATTATTTATTTTTGGTCAACTTATAATTACCTTTTTGGTAATTACTTATTGGAGAAGTGTTTTCCTTTCTTATTCCTTACTTTGATGGAAAGTAGAATTATGTTACTATAAGGAAAACTGGTCCTCTCTCTGCCTTTATAAAAGTGCATATACTCCATTAATTATGTACAATTAATGAAACAACACGTAAAAGTTTTATGTGTGCAAAAGGCCAAGAGAGAGAAACCAGTTTTCACCTTTGCCTTTTGATCAGAGTTGCAGATTAGTTCGTGGCCAAAGGATCTGGACGTTGGACTTAATCTCAACAAGAATTGATATCGTGAATCGAGGTATTTATATCTAACTAGTATTTATTTATGCATTATAGATATGTGAAAATCATGAAATTCTAAGATATGGGATTCATGTAAATTTGTGATTAATGGCTTAACACGAATTATTATAGTTTACATGTGGTATCAGAGCTAACGGTTTAGGAACTCATTATTTTTCATTAAAGTTGCATAAATAATATGTATAAATTTAAAATTAAATGATTGTATAATCCATTATTTTAGAATCGTATGTTTAGATCAGTCCGTGTGGTTTTTGGGTTTGGGTAGCTCAATTTCTGAGCCAAAATTGAATTATGAAAGTTGATTACTGATACATAGTTTACATATGTGTAATAGTACAAACATATGCATAATGTGTGTAAGACAAACAACTTCAATGCTTTAGGTTACTGATTTTCGTGCATGACTAATAAAGAACATTGAATTAAAATAATAATAATAATAATAATAGCATTTGTCTTGCTATTGTTTCATAGAAACAGTCAGTTGTGAAAAGATTACAAAGACTCATTATTATTATTATTTAAAAATTAATAAATACATAAAGTTTGTGTATTTATTTATTTTATTAAAGAGGTTTAAATTATTGTTATAAGTATTTGTCCAATGATTTGAAGATTCCGTTTTTAATTTAAAATAAATTAAAATTAAAGTTATTGAATACATAAAATATATGTATTGATTTATTTATTTTAGGAATTTGAATTTCTAGAATAATTTGTGAGTTTAGAAATTTAATCTAATAAATTAGACATGCAAATAACTTGTTATTTCGTACCCAAACATACATACATATTGTGGAATCAATTTTAAACTGATTCAATTATGATCTTTAAGTCCGAAAATAAAATAATATATTTTATTATGTATATAAAATAAAAAGATATTTTCTATGAAATTTCGGGCTATTAAGTTTTTGAGATCGAAGTTGCTTAAACTTTAATCGACAATTATGAGTATGTGTGTATAATGTTAAATGGGTAAATTAATAATTAATTAATTACTAGTTAATTTAATATTCATATTATGTATGGGTTAGTAGCTACCAAAGTGGCCTAACCATAATGGTCGATGAATATTAATTTTAGTAGTAAATATAACTTAATGATGAATTAATTACTGTCTAATTTAATATTCATATTATGTGAAGATTGGTAGCTACTAAAGTGGCCCAATCATAATAATTGATAAATATTAATTTTTGTAATAGACATAATTAATCATAAATTAATTACTATCTAATTTAATATTCATATTATGTAAAGGTTGGTAGCTACCAAAATGGCCTAACCATAATAGTTGATGAATATTAATTTTAGTAGGAAACATAATTGCAATATTTCATGAAATATGATGTTTATAATTGCAATAAAGGTATACATATAAATACATGTAAGCATCATTATTAGTATTTTATAATTGCCACCCAAAGGGGTACTATAGTTATACATTGTATTTATATTTTTAAGTTATACATACGTGTTGTTAACTCAAAGTATTATTGTTGTTAAGATTTTATCTTATTATATTTGTTTTATTACATCCCTTAATGCGCATGCTACATCTGTTCTGATTCTCAATATGACTAACTTCTCATAATGAAATGAGTAAGTTGAGTTCAAAATTTAAATGTGTTAAATCTTAATTTAACATTTTAAATTGAGAAACTTACTGTTATTACTGATAAAAATAGTGAGGAAGAAAAGATTCTCTATAAAGCTTGGGAGAGATCGAACAGATTAAGCATTATGGTTATGCGAATAATTGTTCCTCATAGTTATAGTGCTAAGGAATATTTTGACTAGAAGAATGTTTTCGTATTATAAATAAATATCTAAAACGAAAATTATTAATTGATATCACTACTATGCATTTTTGTTGGTACTTTTACCATGTATGGGTATGTTCTTAGGATGACTAATGTTGCTACCAAATTGAGAACCTTATAGATGATTGTGGATAAGAATTTTCTTATTCAATTTATCTCAATTTTTGTCTACTTGGTATGGGTCATTTCGAATTAACACTATTAAGACAAGTGGAAAGTAAAAGAATTGACCATTATGTTAATTTAGGAGGAGACAAAGCTTAAGCAGCAGGTAATCATTATGTTCATCTGATGACTCAAGAAGTTAGAAAGAAATTTGGGAATAAGTCAGAAAAGGCATTAAGTGAGCAACACCCAAAATTAAAAGATTTAGGTCAATCTACTAAAAGAAAGTAATGTAATAATGAAAAAATGTCATTAATGTATTGAACACTTTTAGAAAGATTACATGACATATAAAGAATGATTCGAAAAAGAAAAGTACGCTTTTGGCTTTTGTATATTGCGAATTACTTGTTGAAATTCTTTTTAATACATGATAGGTTGACTTAAGTACTAATATTTATATTTCTAATATATGCAAGAATTTTTTATGGCCTAAACCACAAATTCAAATAAGAATTTCTTATTTATGATAATTGAGAAAAAGTTTTGTTGAAACCATTGTGACACTATGTTTAATGTTAGACAATGGATTTTATTTAAATTATTTGAAAATTTTTATGTTTATTCAATTTCCCATAATTTGATTTTATTTCAAAAACTTTATGTTAATGGTTTTTCATTTAAATTCGGTAATGATATTTATTTAAGAAATTATAATTTGTGCGTTATGGCATTATTGTTGATGATTTCTGTAAATTCAAATTTGATGATTTATTTATTAAAATCCTTTTGATCTTGTATCATAATGTTAGAATTAAGCGTAACTCAATTAATAGAAAATTTATCTTTGGCATAAAAGACTAGGTCAATATCTAGTGAAATGTTAGGAAAATTAGTAAAGGATGTAATTCTTCTGAATCTAAACTTTACTGATTTTGATGTGTGTGTAGATTGTATTAAGGGTAGACAGACTAAACGCACAAAGAAATGAGCAACAATAAATACATAACTTCTTGAAATTATTTGTAGACCTTCTGATGTTCCATCTTTTGGAGGAGAAAAGGTATTTTATCGCCTTTATAGTTAATTTTTCACATTATGGATATATCTATTTGTTGTATGAAAAATCTCAAACAGTGGGTACTCTTGAAGTATACATAAATGAGGTTGAAAAACAACTAGATAGAAAGTGAAAATCATAAGGTCATATAGAGGTGGTGAATATTATGTAAAGTATGATGAAACAGGTTAATACTCTAATTGTTTGTTAAACTCCTTGAAATGTATGCCATTTGTGTTTAATACACTTTGTTATATATGCCACAGTAGAAGCGTGTAGCTGTAAGGTGTAATCGTACTCTTATGGAATTGGTTAGGAGTATGTTAAGTAATTCTTCGTTACCCATAATGTTGTGGATATTAAGTAATCTAAAGGGAACAAGTTTTACTATCCGAAACATAGTACGATAATTATTGAAACCGGTAATGTCAGATTCATTAAGAATGGTAAAATCAGTGGGAGTGATAAAAAATAAGAATTTGATCATTTCAGAAGTTAGGGTACAAATATCTTTATCCATAACTTATAAGGAAATAATTACTCCTTCAGTTGTTGAACCGTATAACAACGAAGAATAATTAAATGATCAACAACTCTATAATGAGATTGTCACCAATGAATATATTGTAGAAAAATCATAAGGAATAACATTAAGACGATCTCAAAGAGAAAGAAGATCTGTTATTCCGGATGACTATGTGATATATCTGCAAGAATCTGATTTTGATATATAGTGAGATATATATGGATCCGATTACATATTCACAAGCCATTAACAGTAATGATTTTACTAAATGGATTAGTGTCATGAATGAAGAGATTATAAAGAAACCTTCTCTCTAGTATTTAAGAAGGAATCTTTTAAAATATCATGGCATTAGTAGCTTATTATGATTTAGAGTTACATCAAATGGATGTGAATACAATTTTTAAGAATAGGAGTTTATAAGAGGAAGTCCATATGGAACAACTTGAAGACTTCATATTAGAGGGTAAAGAATTCATGGTCCGTAAACTTAAGATGTCAATATATGGATTTAGACAAGCTTCCTAACAATGGTATATTAAGTTTAATAATACAATTATTTCTTTTGGTTTTAAGAAAAACACTGTTGATCAGTGTATATACTAGAAGGTTAGTGGGAGTAAGTTTATATTTCCGATTCTATATATTGATGATATTTTATTTGTTAGTAGTGATCTTAGTTTATTATATGAAACTAAAAGTTATCTCTAAGAACTTTGAAATGAAATATATGGATGAAGCATCCTATGTGATAGGAATAGAAATATTTCATTATAGATCACATTGATTTGTTTTTAGAATTGTCTCATAAAGCATATATTAAAAGAGTTTTAGAAGATTTGGTTGGAGGAATAATATTATGGAAAAGTGCAAAGTAATTTATGATTACTTTGTCTATTATGAAATTTTAATTTGTAGCATGCTTTGAGGCTATAATTTATGGTTGCAGAATTTATTTCAGGACTTGGAGTTATGGGTACCGTTTTCAGATTGCTGAAAATTTATGCTGCAATTGTTGATCTTCTTGTATGAAAAATGATAGGTATTCTAAAGTTGAAATACTTTATCATTAAAGAAGGTATTTAGAAACAACGAATGTCTATTGAAATTATAAGTACACAACTTATGATTGCAATCCATTAATGAATGGACTACCATCCAAGACATTTATGGAACATGTTGAAAGAATGGGTCTTAAATGTAGTCAATGATGATTATCCTTTAATTGTGGATTGCTTAAATAGTGCTTATATATATTTGACATTTTGCACTGATTAAATGTGTTTCTGATATTTCCTATTAATTAATGTACATGCACGTATTGCTTTAATAAGTGGTAATAGGAATAGTCTTGGAAAAGATATTATTGTTAGATCATTATTGATACTTCTCATTTATAGACTATGTTGAATAGATTACTAGTGTTGTGGTACATGAAAGGGACTGTGTCATTTAAGGATATATAACCGCCATGACTCTCATTGGTAATTTATTTACCATGGTATTTATGATAACCAATTTAATGAGTTAATTTGATTTATGGTGCACATTAATGACTATTTTACTAAACCACTATAGAAATTATCATATGTGTCAAGTGGGAGAATGTAAGATTATTTATTTAATTATGGCCTACATGATTTGGATATGTGACATATTACTTGGTGGGTAAGTAAATAAATATCAATTAATATTATTTATTTTTGGTCAACTTATAATTACCTTTTTGGTAATTACTTATTGGAGAAGTGTTTTCCTTTCTTATTCTTTACTTTGATGGAAAGTAGAATTATATTACTATAAGGAAAACTGGTCCTCTCTCTACCTTTATAAAAGTGCATATACTCCATCAATTATGTACAATTAATAAAACAACACGTAAAAGTTTTATGTGTGCAAAAGGCCAAGAGAGAGAAACCAGTTTCCACCTTTGCCTGTTGATCAGAGTTGCAGATTAGTTCGTGGTCAAAGGATCTGGACGTTGGACTTAATCTTAACAAGAATTGATATCGTGAATCGAGGTATTTATATCTAACTAGTATTTATTTATGCATTATAGATATGTGAAAATCATGAAGTTCTAAGATATGGGATTCATGTAAATTTGTGATTAATGGCTTAACACGAATTATTATAGTTTACATCCCAAAGCTAACATAGACCACTGATCTCAACGGTTGAGCGTCGAGCCACGTCATGCAGTCCCTGTCTTCTTCCAAGAAACTGTTGGAGGAAGCCAGGGTCGACGGCGTTGTTTCTTCTGCGAGTTTGGCTTTGTGGAGGTTGTGGATAGGTCCGATGGAGTAGACGTTTGGACAGAGAGAGCGGATGTGAGAGAGCGTGGTTTCTTCTAAATCTTGAAAGGTGTTGAGTATGATTCCATAGGCTCTTGGGAGTTGTTTGGTCTCCGATAAGCAAATTTGTACTTGGGTGCCTGAGATGTCACCGCTACGGCAGAAGTCCGGAAGATCACGGCGCCGGAGAAAACTTTCCATGCCTGGTACACTTTTTATAGGAGTGTCCAAGTTATTTCCTATATCAAATGGTGAACACGACTGATAGGTTAGATTAATGTACTGACTTACTGGAGTAGCTTGTTTGGTTAGTGAGAAAAGTTATGCAAATGTGAAGTTAAAACGTTTGTTTCTCTGTAGTCTATGCTAGGGGATGCACACAAAAATCGTTAAAATTAACTAGACTGAACAAGAAGGACAACCATTTAGTTCCGATTAGGGATTATAATAATGAGGACAAAACCAAATCAAACTGAAAATGTTAGGAATATAACTCAACATGCATGCATGATAGTTTAGGCATATTTTAAAATTTAATTTTTCATTTTATTGGATATATACCCTATAAGAAAGTCTAATATTGCACGTAGAATAGAACGATTTTATGGTTCAATTTGATTTGGCTTTACTCCAAGTTGGATTCTGATCCATCAAAAAGTGCACCAAATGGAAGTATATGCAACAAGAAAGTATACAATACTTGGGGACTATTTATAATGACACCCTAACTAATGAGTGAAAACTCTCAATTTGTATATGGAAGATATGCTGAATTTTTTTTTTTTTTTTTTGCCCTTTTTAAGTATAACTATGTATTAGTTGGGCTACGCAAAGTAAATACAGAACTATTATGAGTCCATTGCACTACTTTAAAAACCTTTAAAGAAAAGAAAAGAAAAAACCCTAGTCGAACTGTCTAATTAAGCATCTTCTTAATAACAAAAGTGGCAATAAATTTACTGAAATGGAAGAAGCTAATTGACCCACCTTTGAATGGAAACTCGCCAGCTTCTATGAGCTTGGGAAGACACAGATAAATCCAGATGCAGCAAGGACTGAGAGTATCAAAATAAATGACAGGAATTCCATTCTCTTTTGCAGTATCAAGTACAAAATCAAAGGTACCTTCTGCTATAACGCACGTTACCGGGCCCGAACTCGGTCCACTGGAAGTTAGCATATCTCGGAGAAGTGGATTGGTTACGGCTACAAAGGCATCAAACATGTCCAGGAATCTATTACCGGTGCGCGGGTGATCTTCCGGGAGCACGTCTGAAACGGTTTTGAAACGGAAAGATGGGAATGGAGCGAAACGGGAGTGAATGTGGGTGTGCCGTAGGAGACGACGGTGGACATGGTCGGTGTTGAGGAAGGTGACATTGATGCCGGCGAGGCTGAGAAGCTCGGCGAGCTTGAGCATACAGTTGACTGGGCCTTGAAGCGGTAGTGGGATGATGATTACATGCGGTTGGAGGGTCTTTTCTTCCATTGCAGTTTCAACTGTATTCAATTGGAGTTTCTCAATTCTTCACGGATTAGCTTTTTATAAATAATACTCTTTCATTTCTAATATAATTGTTCACTTCATAAAATGTCACAAGTGGACAATTACAAACTGAATTAGTAATAAATAAATAAAATTAGCTTTAGTCTGATCAGTTGACCTTGGAATTGTTGATTGAACAAGCAACATTGTGTTACAGTAATTGTTGGATAATGTGCTAGTTTATTGGGGAGGAAATATAAATTAAAACAAGTCGGCCATGTGAAATTACTATTAGAGTATTTTTAATGTTGGTTAGTCTCGTCGATCGACGAAAATAATGTTGTGATATATTCTCCTACGTTGTTTAGTATCGATGACGAATTATTATGACTCTTTTTCTTTTGTCAAGTAGCCTTCAAAATGGGCAACGTGAGCTGTAACTTGTAATATAGTATGGTGTCACCCTACCCAAATTTATTATAGTACTTTGGTGATGAAACCTGTTTACGTAAACCTGATGGCAAAGCAAAAATATTAGTGCTATTTACTTAGGCCTTGTTTAGTATCTGTTTTACTTCATGTGTTTTTGTTGCAGGTTTGCTGCAGTAGCCCAAAAGTGGCCCAAAGCATGTTTGGTTCTTTATGTTTTGTTTGGAACAGTTGTAAAACATTTTAAGAAAAAAGTCCAAAACTTGAAACACCAAAATGGTGTTTTAAGTTGTTTCAGCACTGTTTGCCCACTTCATGCACTGTAGTGGAGGAAGTAATTCGGCAAAACTTATAACACTGTACAATAAGTACAAAGGCGACGCTTAAATATTTTAGGTCATTTTGCACCCCAACTTTCTCTCTCCTCCATCGATGTTCTCTGTGGCGATTTAGGGCGATTCGACTATACAGTGCTTGGGTCCTGAAAATTTCGATCAATTCAAGCCTTTTTGCTTAAATCAACCACCGATCTAAAGCTCTTTACACTTTTCGTCGAAGAAGAAGCCAGGTTTGGCCCATTTGGTTTAACTTTGTTCGATTAAGTTCAACATATTGACTATTTTTCTGTATTTTTTTTTAGTTTTTTTGTTGGAAATCCATAAATGGTGTGTAATATTTTTTGATTTTGGAGGTTTTTTTTTTTAAAAAAATTGATTTTTCCTGAAAACCGTAATTTTTCTTTCAGTTTTACGAACATAAAACTCTTCTATATTGTTAAATTTGAGATTATATTTGAAGGGAAACCAATATTTGTAAAAACCCTAAATTTTTCTTTCGGTTTTTGGATTAATTACCGCAACAGTGTTGTGTTGAAGCCTAATAATTAATCTTATATTTGTATAAATCCTAAATTTTAATTACCACAATAGTGTTGTGTTGGAGTCTATTGTTCAATTTGATTTGAAGATTTGAGATACAACTTTCTATTTTAAAGCAACTGTACATTATTAGATTGTTAATAATGAATCTTGATTTACTGTCACCTGAATTCACTTTTTCAGGAAAAGATTTGTTTAAGTGAATTTCTTATTAAGTTGTGTGTAATATTCTACAATGTATCTGTATTCCTATCTGCAGTATGGATGTATGATTGAGGTTAAATTTTCTCAATTACTGAATTGGAACTTGACATATATAGAACAATGGAGACCTTTTGCCATTTTGCAAAATTCTTGATTTCTCTTTTGCTTGTTAAAAGTGGGAACCAGGAAAGGCTCATAGGAATATAACATGTAACAATTTGATTTTTTGATATTGCATACTGATTGGTGTACAATATGATCTGTCAATATTGATAATAGTGCAGTATAACATGTTGAGTCTCTCTGTATCACGTTTTTATCATGGTTGGTATTATGGAACTATGTGATTGCAAATTGTCATAGTAAGTTTGTAGTGATCTAATAGTCTTTTCCTTGGGCAAAATAGAGTTGAATATAGTTAGAACTTAGAAGGAGCTCTTCCTTGTCATCCTTGTAGCCCTTTAATAAGGTTCTAGAGGTTTAGTTTTGATCCTTTGCAACCACTTCCCCTGGGGCTCCCATGCTTGATAAATAATTCAAGGATGTACCTGGGTTCTAGTCTCCACAATTGAGTAGAATAGTGGGCTAGAATATTTACTGCCAGTTTCCCCTAAATTACCTCTGACATGGCTGCTGATATCATAAACATAAAATATGTTTTCTCTATACTTTTTGGGTCTAATGTAATTTGAACTCTCTTTCAAGTGTTGCGCGATTTATGAGTGATACAATTTATAGCTAATGTGTATCCTTTTCTTAATAAATTGTTGCACGTTGCTTCTAAAATGTAAGTTTTTTTTTTTTTTTTTTGATAAATAAAATTATTATATATCATTATGATTATCTCATAGAGTCGAGTATTATTATATTACTTATGTTTCTTCTTTTTTTTCTTTTTTCTTTTCCCTTTCTGTTTCCAAGATTAAGGAAAAGAAAAGAAAAGTTGGAATCTTTCGCATTGCTTATTTGAATTTTTATATATTTTGAATCAACCTGTAAGAGTCAAAATTTTGATTCACTCTAGATTCCTAATTTTTATATATTATACCAATGTTAAATTTTATGTCTCCCTCATCTGATTTTCATGATTTAAACAAATTTTTTATAATTTTGCTTTTACATGTTCATATCCCAATGATGAACTATTTAGTAATCTGAATTTTTGCATGGAACTTGTAAAATTTGGTGCTCTCTCTTGCAAGCTTATTGTTGAGGTTGAGGAACCATGAGTTCATGCTAGGTAGATAATAGGCATTTTGAGGGATATGCTGTTATTTGATTTTAATATTTTCTTTTTGTTTTTTCTTTTTGGCTTCATTTTTTTTAGCACAAATATACTTATGATGCTTTATTGTCCTACAATGTATTATGCCATAAGACTCCACGTGTCGTATGGGTTTTAGATATTTTAGCTTTATCTAGAATTATAAGATAATTTTTTTAATAAATAAGTTGTTGCCATGGAGACCTGTGCTTCAATCACTTGGCATGATTCATTGTTTGGAGAAACTTATAACAATAATATTAATTTAAAAATGGTTGTTTTGTTATATAATTTCTACTAAATTTATTTACTGAGGTCACTTGTTTTGACTTTGGCATATTTTGCATCTATTATACCAATGTTAAATTTTATGTCTCCCTCATCTAATTTTCATGATTTAAACAAATCTTCTATAATTTTGTTTTTACATGTTCATATCCCAATGATGAACTATTTAGTAATCTGAATTTTTGCATGGAACTTGTAAAATTTGGTGCTCTCTCTTGCAAGCTCATTGCTGAGGTTGAGGAACCATGAGTACATGCTAGGTAGATAATAGGCATTTTGAGGGATATGTTGTTATTTGATTTTTTTATTAAATAAGTTGTTGCCATGGAGACCTAGGCTTCAATCCTGTCAGCCGATGTGTTTTTTACACAACTTCATTAGAAATCAATATCAGCCTGATGATTTATTTAATGGTGACGATCCTCCTCGAGAAATGGATCAATTGCGTAATACTATTGCTGATCGAATCTGGAATTCTCTTGGGCACTCTTGATCTTCTTGAAACTGATGGTATGTTTTTTCTTTTATATGTAATATATTTGTTGCAATTGTGGGCTTGTAATATATATATATATGTAATATATATCATTTTTGCTGTTACTATTTTGCTTTTACTATTACTATTACAGGCTAATATTATTGTTAATATTTTTCAACTTAAATTCTACCATTACAGATGTGAAGTGTGTTGATACTCTCTTGAAGGTGATGTGTGCTGTTATGAAGATGACGTGTCTTACTATTGAAGCTTGTTCCATGGAAGTGAAATTTGTGTTTTTTTGAAGTATGTCTTCTGTAACAAAAACATAAGGAAATAACTTTTTATTTGTTAAACATCTTTTTCTTCGTTTTTGAATCCTATTGTTGAAATTTGTAAACAATGAAGTGAATTGTTTTTTAACTTTGAATTATATCTCCTGTTTAATTTAATCTCCTATTTAATTTGTTTTCAATTTCTTTGTCATTTTTCCTAATAAAGAAGAATGAGTATGATTTGAGAAGGTTCCTTGCAAGTTTCCATTCTAGCAGGGTGCTTTTTTTATTTTTTATTTTTTTTTATGTTATGACTCCTTGATAGATGTTTTGTGAAGTTTGACTCCAAATAGATGGATTAGAAATGAAAAAGGTGATCTTAATATCTGGATCACAAGTACACAGTAAAAAGATGGAACTCTACATGTCATCAAGACTCAAGTTGATACCAAAACATTGGCCTCGCTGAAGCAGTTGCTTCTGTAATTATACTTTGGTTATATATATATATATATATATATATATATATATATATATATATATATATATATATGTTTGCGTTCAAATTTCAATATATTTATTAAAAATATATAGACTATTTATATAGAAATAAATTTATAGATAAATTTAAAATTTATAAAAATAAATTAAAAACAATGATAACCAAACATGTTTTTTTGTTTCTGTTTTATTTTTTATTTTTACAACAGTTGGAGTTACCAAACATATTTTGTTTTCAAAATTCTTGAAACACATGGCTTACCAAACATGTTTTTCATATTTCTGTTTCCGACATTTCTACAACAAAACATCGTTCCTAAACGTGTTTCTGATTTTTGCCAAAACACTCCAATAGTAAAAATATTGTTTCTATTTTAGCCAAAAACAAAACGCCTAAAGCAAAATGCATGCCAAATGGGCCCTTACCATACTCACACATAGTATATCTTTCATTGGACACTTGAACCTTTACTAGTAGTATTTATTTTAAGAGGTAGAATATAAATCATTAGACTAGAAAGTTGTGGGTGCATGTGAACGGCTAATGTTCAAAATCATCCTACATGACACCTAGACACACGATAACGGGACACAATAAAAAGTCAAAGAATGAAGTCCTAGCATTGTTCTAATAACCCTGGGCCTAGTTAAAACCATGGTACCACACTTGGTCATCAAGCCTCAAA